TGCAATCGATTTACCTTCGTGTCTAATGTAATCACAACGGCCAATCAGAGTACAGAAGATGATCACAAGGAGCCAATAGGAACTCAAAGTAGAAACACGTAACCGACCTCAAGCGCGGGAAAACCTCGTGACCAAATCGTTCTTGATATTACTTCTGATTGGTCCATGAGCGAGTTTTCTTGACCAATCAGAGAGCAGAGTAAAGCTAAACCAAAGCAATCCTGTATTTCTTTTGAAACTCAACTGAAAATAGCTCTAAAAGAAATAACATGTTTGCTTTTTCAGTTGCTACAATTGGTCATTAAAATAGATTAAAGCAGTTACCGTCACATCGACCGCAAGAGTACGGACACACTAGAGTCATGTAATCCTTGTAGTCTGTCATTTCACAATATTGATGTTTCGCCCATTTTCCACAAAGCTCGTAATGATCGCGGCAGTCTAGTTAGAATTAATGTTGGAACAGCATTAGAACAGTGTTGGACCAGCGTTAGAGCAATATTGGGACAGCATTATAGCTTGAAGTTAGATAAATATGATATCAAAGGTCAGATGTTACGTACTCGTAGCTAGCAGGGGTGGGGGGGGGGGGGTGGTGCATGACTAGGAGAAATTCGAACTTAGGTCTCCTCCACTTACCGTTAAAAGGCATCGCATCGATGAAATAAAAACTCACCACAACTGCACATACAACGAGGACCCTCATGCTCTACAAGATAAAAAAATCTATGAAGTTTTCTGGGCAACAATAGTACTTCTGAACCTTTATTTAGAAACGGGAAAGACAAAAGCTTTTGGTCTTATAATATCGCACCTTAATACACATATCAGATTGGGTTTCGATCAACAAATTGATATAACAGATCCAAATACCATCATTATTTGTGTGAAAGCAGTGAAAACAAATTAGTTTGGTCGATAATTGGTTGTTAACTTCTCCAGTGTCAACTGGAGAATAAGTTATGTGCAGGTTATTTATTGTATTCCATGCTATAGTTATGCCTTTAAAAAGAAAATCAACTCGGAGATCATAAAGTCATACGAATTTCTACTTCCAATTATCATGGTACCCCTCAGCGCGGGCGTCAAGGTTTGCAAAAAAACGCCATATCGTCTTAAAAATGTTTTTTAAAGACACGTTTTTGCGTTATAAACCTTAACGTGAAAACATGATGTAAGTTTACTCAGAGCCACACCAGAAACTAATAAATAAAGTAGTTGCTTTGAGCGCAAATCGAATAATTATATTCCTAGAGGAAAATCGAACTGCAAATGGCGGGGATCATTTTCAAGATTTGAACAAAAAGTCAGTTTTCGTGAGATATCCAGCTAAAACATTTAGTAAACGGGACTGAGTTTGAATACCGCTTATTCAAAGTTGCGTACTAACGTTCCGTTACTGGCATAATTTAGAATGTTATAGTAGAATTCGGATTACTCCAAACTAAAAACCATGAGAAATAACTCAGAAACTTAGCTCCTAAACCTACCTTCTCTTTGAGTATGTAGTCGCTTGATCTTTGGGAAAATGAAAGCTGTTCTTTTGAATGTCGCACCGGACTTCGGTGGTCTTATTTCGACAAAGACAAGAACCTGCTCTACCAGTCAGAGTCCTTTTGTCTTTGTTGGTTTATTTTCGTCAATAGCGCCTTGAAATGATGAAAGATTAATGTCTTTTGAGCAGGGACCAAAAAATCACCTCAGGAAGAAATGATAAGAGTTACTCGAAAGCTTAATGCTGTCAGCAAAAAGGCAAATTCAGTGAATGGCTATAGAGAAGAGCCACGTAGTGTAGCTAACATTTAACTTTTTCCTTATCCCAAACCATATAAGCTTATATGAGAGACTTCTGTTTCTAGATCATTCACCCTCTCGTTGCTGAGTCGGTCGTAAGAGTGAAGAGAAATGAGTGTAAAAGTTAGTGCCGCCGCGTGAAGTTTTAGTTCCCAGTTCTCGCACGGCCCTGACTAAATTTTTCTGATGTCCCTTTGTTTTATTTTTCCTTGACTTGTGCGGTGCACTTAGCAAAAAAAAAAAAAAAAGAGGGTTGTTGTTCGTATTCTAGAATTTCGTGTTAACGAACGCTCTTACGCAGAACACAGATATCACCCTACTGCTTGCTTTGTAGTCATTGTGTACTCATAAATGAACAAGATTTCGCAAGACGGGACACACTACTTTTTGACTGATGGAATAACATACTTTCAAAGAAAATTCTTTAACTTTTACGCAGGCTGCGGATTATTTGATCCATAGAACTGCAGGACTTCAGGTGCTTGCGCAAGCGACAGGAGCAGAAAAGACTCAGAAAGCTCTTTGACAACAAATTAAAAGTCTCTTTCTATCCCCGCAATGCATCCTGGTTGAGCGTGGTCCTTCAAAAGCCACTTTATTGTCAAAACTAAAACAGTCATGAATAATTAATGAACCTTTTGTATTTCATCAGGTATGACTTTAAGTCTTAATGGACTCGATGGGTCATTCACCACCACATCATTTTAAATTCAGCTGGAAATACAATAAATTTCCCTGGCAACGTGCAGTGTGCGTTGCCAGGCATGAGGCAGCAAACCTTTTTGGAACCTCTTGGACGTTCTCCCTTCAACGTTTTCTCCATTGGCGAAAAAAATAACTTTGCGTTCTTCTAAGGCAAACCTTCAGAGAGAAATATTCCGATCTGCGTGAGAAGCGTTTTTTTTTCTTCTTTTTTTTACAGGAGGAGCTTACGCCGAGAATTTTGTGGGTCTGAAAGAACTATGATGGCCGAGAAATTTGCGAATTACTGAAAAAGTCAAGGCGCTGTAAGGGGTGTTGGAAGATTCCTAGATTCCAGGCTTCCAAAGCAGCTCACGGTCATGAGAGGATACTGACTCACGCACAAGAGTGTTAGGTTGGGAGCAGAAAGTTGATTTTCTTAATTTAACTTCCGGGCAGTTGAACTTCTGGGCAGTTAAACTTCCGGGCAGTTGAATTGAAAAAATCAACGAAGTCTTCTTTAGTAATTTGACTCATTTTATTCAACTCTTTTTCTTTTACGAATTTTCAACCAATTTCCAACGAATCGAAGTTGCCCTTTTCAAAAAAGACCTTCTACACAAGACCTTTTACATCTTATATTAAGGACTCGTGATTTCTATCGCGTGATAGTTGATGAGCTGGCCTGAGTCAGCTATCACGCGATAGAAATCTAAAGTACATAATCTAATTTTAGAATAAATCTAGCCAACCAAATCTTATTAAGAAGACAGTTATATTTATCAAATCCTATGTTGTTTACAACCACATCCTCCTAGCCAATACACTTTACTTACTATGTATCACGAAATCACGGATAGCGAGTCGCTGAGCCAATCAGATGCAGCCTACCTGTGATAGAATTTTACTAAATTTTAACAATTTTTGCTAGTCCACCTAACAGGCGCCATTCTTTCTCTTTTTTTTTCTTTTTCCGTTTTTTTGTTTTGTTTTTTGTTTTTGCTAAGGAAATGTAACTGCGAAGACTGCGCTAAATTTATCGTAGATCATCGCCTGAGAGCGCAAGCCAAACAACTAAGGGGGGTAGGGTTAGGGCAGTTGTTACACACTCGCTTCTTCAGAAAAGTAAAGCGGCTTATTTAAAGTCTTATGTCAAATCAAACTTTGATTGGATTACCAAGCCAATCTTTATAAACTATTTCAAAAGAGCTTAGCTTCTGTTTCTTTATCTGTTTAGCATATTCCGGAGTGAATACCAAACCTTCCGCGCATCTTTCCCATCTAAGAAAGGCTTAATTATGTATCAGCAGCCAAATATTAACAGTTAATGAAGGCGATAAAGATACGGACTTGATATCATTGACGCCAGTGAAGTGGTTTATCTCGGAAGTCCTTCACTTTGTCCGCGCAACCAAACCAAACGCTTGCCTTTGTTAAATTAAATAAAGCGCAAATTGGCAATATCCGGAGAGGTATTATTTCAATAATTATGCACTGCAAAGTAACAGACATGTGTTGAAAAATTAGAAATATTTTGGATTCTTTACACTTGTCCTCTTTGACCTTGATATTGTCATGATGACATAGCTTAGTCATCAGAGGAAAAAGAGCAATAACTTTGGGTTTCGTTCTTGCAGCTACAACCTCTGTGACACTGATTTAACATTTGGCAAGCTTTCTAAACTTCGAACCACTCGAAAACCAAATACTGATGCTTCTTGCTCTTAAACGTTGGTTAAATTCGAGTACAAACAATGCCGAAAGTTCTCCTTTCGAAAACTTCTCACAGAAACACAAATGCCTTTCAAGTTCCGGCGCTGTCTGAAAATGAGAACAAAATTATAAAAGAAGGCAGTTTTTTTGTGACAGGCTGTCATCTGAATGGTACACACAGCGACAGCGATGTACTGAATGCAAACATTTAGTGACTCCTTCGAAAGATTGCCTCGTTTACTGTAGAGACCATAATTTCAAGGCGGGGGGGGGGGGGGTACTTCCTCAGGAAACTCATGCAGATTCAGCCTTGTTCGCCTGGATTTTACAGGATCCTACGAAGGAGTACCTTTGTCCTCAGAAGGGTCATTTATTAGTGGATTCTTCACTAAACGCCTCACACAGAGTCAGTGTTGTTTCAAGTAACTATTAACAGCATTCATTTTGCGACACATCGGGCTAGTGGCTGTATTCCCCTCTCTCCCTCCCCCCCCCCGCAGTCCTCAATTATCTGTTAAGTGAAGGAATGTTGACCTTGCACCGTAACAATCGTGTTATCGTCTGAGTGGATCACAATTTCAAACTATTTTCGTGAAGGCATTCACCTTGTCGCGAAGTAGCTTACATCGTGATAAACCATTTATAGATTCAGCGTTATCAGGGCATAAGCTCTTCGCGGTCATGCGAAATGTGAGCTATTTATAAAATCTTAAGTAACTCGCATGCCGAATCATACTCTATCATACCAAACGTCCAAAGAAAAATTGCTAAAATTCGGAGAATTTCATTCCCATTTTTCTGTTTAGCTTCAACTTTGTATTGTTTATTCAAGACATTTAAGGTTAAGTCGGATCAGATGCAGACATCATGGTGCCCAGAGGACCATCCATTTATCACAATTTACATAAAGCTTAAAAGATCGTCAAAACACTCTTCAGAAATCCATGTTTGACCCGAATTTTGCGTAAAAAACTAGATCGGAGAGGGTGGGCTGGGGCGGGCTGGGGTGGAGTCTCATTATCCGCCCTAGACCTCCCGCCGCGTGCCAATTTGTAATGTAAGTTGCTAAAGCGAAGCTCATCATCCGTAATGTTTTTATTTAGCGATGCAAATATATATGCGAATTGCTCATAGCTGTGAACCCCTGATAATTTGCCAGCATCTGCTAATAGGCCTGTGACCGCGGGTTATCTGTGTTTATCATAACTAATGAACCATACCGAGCTAGCCGGCTTCAGCCGCCGGCTCCAACCAGCAACACAATGTTTTCATTAGCTTTCATTTCAATCTTCATATAACACTGATGCAATGCTATCAAAACACAACAATACCTGTGTGAAAACAACTGTTTTTCAATCGCTTGTTATCTAAGCTTCTCACATTAGTATGGTCTGTTTTCTTTCCATTAAAAATTATTTGAACTCTACGCCTGTTTCTCTAACGGAATCACTATAATGCCACCCACAGCAAAAACTTTTCCGTTTCTGTAACTTGCAACTGTAAAATTATCTTTGTCTACTTCCAGAAGCGCCTGACATGCTACCTCCATCCCAAAGTCTCTTACCGCGCCAACATAAACGACTGACACGATTTTGCAGCGTGTTTTAGTAGCCTCTTTCATGGCTTCGACGCGCCGTTTCACCAGCTGACAGACGTTCTTTCCCAAGCGATCACATTCATCCCGGTTATACTCTGTAACACAGTCAAACTGTAATTTTAGTGTTTCTTGAATTATGTCCTGTATTGCAATATTTTCTTTCTCCACGGGTCCGAGAACTGCTGAGTCTTTTCGCGAAGAACATGGCGAACTATCCAAGCTGTTCTGCGATCCAGGGCGACTGTTAGTCAGAGAAGTCAACCACATGTCACTTGGATCTGGCGGGAGAGTTTGAGGTGAAGTTTGGTTGAACACCGGTTGAGACGAACGCCTTAGCCTTCCCTTTTCTTCCGAATTAGATTTGGAGTTGAAATGAAACGAGAATAAAGACAGTTTTCTTGCTCTTTTGCCTGGCTTGGGTGAGAATCTCGGTTCTTTCTCTGGAAAAGGCGAAGCGTTGTAAATATTTGTAGCATTGTTCGTACGCTGCGTAGCTTCGTGACCGGAGGTGAAATGAAACGGGTTTGAATGCTGCCTCTCTCTTGGAAACCAAGATCCGTTTGCTTCCTCCATGCTTCAGCTCTCTCCTCTGAGATGCTCTATGAAAATTCCCACTGAACGTATCCTTAGACAGCTCTAGGGTCTCTCAACAGACCACGGGCAAATCACGAGAAAAACGCGAGGCGTTAATGTCAATAATGAAGGAAAGGAGTACGTGATCTCAAGTGAAAGACACGCTCTTAATTGTCAAATTTATCGCGGTTTAAATCGTCTCAACTCGCTTCCGGCAGTTAAGTGCTGGTTAACTGATATCTGCCAATCCTTTAATCCTTCAACACAGCCACATTGTTTTGCAAAAAGTAAACAAAATGTTGCAAATTGGAGAAAGAAAGAACAGTTAATTTTAGTTGATGACAAAATATGCTTTCATAGCCGGGTGCTTATCACAGGGGGCCGTGAAAAGGCTTATTTGCACGCTCAATCAGGCTTTTTCCAGCTGTGAATTCTCTCGCATTTACTTATTCGGTGATATTGTTATTACAGTCATTTTTCAAAGGAAGGTTTTTTTTCCCCGTGTAAACGACGCACAAAATTTATGTGGTAAATGAAAACAATTATCAGCTCAAATCTTGGTACGATTACTAAGAACTTTTGTTCCACAAATCGCTTGTCATTTAGAGCTATTTACATATGAAGTGAATTGAGCAAACAAATGGTTAATAGCCTCGAGAAATATGTAATCCAAGTGAAAGATGAAAATGAAATAAGTTGTTAGATACCACAAGGGTAGAGTAATCCTCCATTTAGAAACCTCCTGTTAGTTTGTAATTGATTTAATTGTCTCCCAGCCGAACCTGGGCGTGGGAATATGGGAACTGTTTTCACAGCATGGAATATCAAGGACATTATAGGTTTTTTTGAGTATTTGATAGCACAGCGTGTTGTTCTTAAAGGCGCGGAAGTATTTAACAATATTGAGTCATTATTTAGCTCAGTATAATGCAAATTTTACCGCCCTCTTTAATCAATGCACAGTCCAGCGTTCACGCCTGAGAGCAGACTTTGTTTTTGCGTTTTATTAATAAACATTACTTGGCCATTTACACCAACGCACAGTTGCGTGTTATTATGCCGGTCAGCTTGGGTGTAGAGACTATGAAAACCGCAAGGTCGTTTAGATGGTTGCGGTCTCTATAATCCAGATTATCGAATGCACAAACGTTCTCTGTTTTACCTTTAGAGTAACTAGCATACTCATCAAAATAACAAGTCTCGATAAAGAGCCGCTGTTTGGGAAACGAGCCAACGGTTCTCGAACATGGGGAACTCGAAATCTGAAAAAAAAAACCGATCGATACACTCTCTGACCCATAAATCAATTCGATTCATTTGATTAAGACTGTTGCCAACATAATTAACTTAATTAAAACCAAACTATTCCGGAAATATTGTATTACTAAGAAAAACTTTGCGATCTGCACCAGTAAAACCAAACACACAAAGTCATTTATACCGTGTAAGAATATAGCACACAGGTAAAGAGCGCTTTTCATGCGCGATGATTGGCTAGACAAAATTGCGCGTAAAGAGTTTGATATAGCCGACTAATTTTTCAGCATACAGACAGAAATAAACTAATGTATTGGTTTCTGTGTGGTGTATACCATTACACCACTAGTTCTTCATCTCTACTTTGATGAATAATTGTTTATCATTCATGATATTATTTCTCACGGGATGTCGCTGAAAATGATATACAGATGTTTGCGGTGTGTTTTGGCAAAATTCTAACTTCGTACTGAAAAATAACTGAATCGGAGATAATTTAGGTCTAATTGGTTTAGCTATGATCCTCTGTGGCTATAGGTTTACAGCGCGAAAAACCAATTCAAGTTTTTCGGTGTCTAATTGAGAGATTTTGTGTTTGTTTGCGTACTGGAAAGTCTCGAGAATGGTTTCGCGCTCTTTTCGTTCAAATCTGACAAACGAAAAGAAATATACCACGCGGGTAGCCGAGTTTTTATAGTGTCTCATGCATAGTCTTCACGGGTTATCTTGTTGGAAACATTTCAGGACAATTTGTGTACGTTTACTTGACAACAAGTGTAGATGATTTTTCCATAGACAAGAAATATGCTTCAGAAACCATGTTATCTTCATCTCTGTCGTTTAGAATTATACTTTAAACTTTGAGACTTCCCGCTGTTGGAAGTAGCCTAACGATTTCAAAATTGTCCACTTCAAATGCATGTGCATGAAATAAAACTCGGGACGCCGCCATTTTTGTTAACAAAATGACCGTACACGCAAATCACAACGCGCGGAGAAAAAACACCGGCGTTCTGGTTAAATAAAAAAGGTTTTTTTTAGAATACCTTTTTTTTAGCCCCCCAGTTCTTCATAAAAATCTACGAGGGATGGAAAGAAGAGGTTTTAGACGCAGGTAATTGATTGGCCGAAGAGATAAGCAAGATTCAAAATGGCGGCGCTTGTTGAAAAATCTTTTAGAAAATTTGAAGACGTGTTTCGCAAAGTCAGGTTACCTTTTAGAATCTCAATGGGGCAGATATTTTATTAAGGAGATAAAAACTATATAATTTCCTTCCCCTAACCTAGAGATCATTTAATCTCTTTCATTAACTGTTTTGCACCCTAACATCAGTACGCATATTCTCCATAATGTTCTCTAAAATTTCCTATGGTGCATGCAAGAAGAATTTGATGATCATTTCCTTTATTCTCATGACCCTAGTATGTGATTCAGGGGTGACACTGCAAGGAGAAATTAGATGTCAATCACTCTTAGGAGTCAAAAGATTGAGAAAAGCTTCTCTCTGACTACAGAATAACATCGACACCCTATGCGTGAGCTACACGTTAAAATCGTGAGGTCCTATGTGTGCAGAGAACACGTCTATCTCCACAGAAAAAAACGCTTATCGATGGAAAGACATTTTTGATCTAATTGACGCTTAATTCTCAGACAAGGGGTTATAGGAAGTGGGTGGTATACTGCACAGAGAGATAAGCGCTTAAGATTCCAGGAATGAAAAGGGACACGTCGTACCAGCCTGTTACGCAAAGTCGTTTCATCATTAAAAATTTGCTTGTTCTGTATGTCCTCTTTTTCAAATTTTCGGTTCCAGTAAGCTAACGGAGCTTCTATTGCCCTCTTTACTATCTCAGATATTAGCGAGAAAATTTAAAAAATGTCCCAGCATGCTGTGAGGCTACGGAGGATCTTTCGAAATGAAAACCGTCTGGTCAGAGTGATAAACCACTTCTGGCGAAATTAAGTCTGTGATATTATTATTACAAGAAGGCTAAAATTATTAAGGAAAAGCGAAAGAATCAGTTATAACACTTCAATATTTTTAATCCAATTTCAGCCAGACTGATATCTAAAACTAAACAAATAAACATGACACGCCATGGCGGGAAACCGTAGCTCCTACATTTCCGTACCCGAAGAATCTGACATGCAAGTTATTTCATCATCGTATGAATATATTAGTGTGGTGATTAACATTTATATGATATATCAGTATAGAGAGTTTGTTATAACAGACGCAAATCCAAACAAAGAATCACTCCTAAAACTCGCTGCAGCGAAGTTATCTCGATCAGTCTCCCATAAGGCCTGGACAGAGGCGAACATTCCCTCGTCTCTCACGGATCCAATGTACGCTTGGCATACAACCTTGCACTGAACATTTTCCGTCTCCTTCATGGACTCTACAAGCGTTTTTAAAATCCTACAGATGCTTTTACAAACTCGGTCACAAGTCTCTCGCTTGTATTCTTTCATTGATAAAAGATGCGCGCGCAGCACGTGCCTAATGAGGTCGTGGATTTTGACATCTTCCTCTTTGAAGAAGGCTTGTTCAGGGACAGGCTTGGTTTGTGACTCTTTACGCTCTAAATTCGCTGCCTCTTCTACTCTTCTCTTCTCTTCGTTTTCAATGGTAGTTGCCACTTGTTGATTTGGTGGAAGTTGTGGGTCAGTGTTTCGTCTCTTTCGTTCCTTCTCACTCGTTGGTTTATGAAATATCGTCAAAGATAATTTGCGAGTCCTCTTTGTTTCTTTCTCGTTAGTAACATCTTGTTTATTCGAACCAGTAGATTGATTCCCAGCGAAAATTCCATGCAAAGATAGCGGAGAAATTCTTCTAGTGATGCTGAGCTTTCTTCTTCTCTCAGAGGGCGCAGGGGGTCGAATCTCATCATTCTCATCAGCGACCCCATTTCCGCCAAGACTTGCAGCGTTAAACGGAAACAAGTCAGATATTTTCTTAGACTTTTTCATTGCTGTTTTTCGACCATCTTCCTCTTCGGCTTCGCTTAATGAATGATAACTGGTTCCTTCGTTAGTCTTCGACGTCGATCCGGCATTAAACGAAGACGCCCTCGAGGTCGTTCGGCTACCTGTCGGCGCTGAAGTGGTGTTTGCTGAATCACTCTCATCAACAGTCTCTAGAGCGACTACCGAGCTGCACGTTGAAATTTCAGAAATAGTGTCATCGTTATCGTCGGTAAAAACGTTGCCAGATTTCATTTTTTCCATCAATAAATCTCGTAAAGAGCTGTCTAGTTCGGTTGAGTCTACATTCGGTAGATTCCGAAGGTCGGGCTCAAGAAGCGGTCTTGACTCAAATCCTGGGCCAGAATCAAAAGCTAACACCGGAGACACTTGAACGTTGTTATTAGAAGCTTGGAAAGGATTCGTTTCTTTGCTGTGATACGAAGTAATTTTCATCAGTGGTATTTTAACCGTAATTTGGCGATTCATGTTGGTATTCCGCGCTGTAGTTTATCAATGAACAACAGTTTTCAATTAGTGTACTTCTCTTGTATATGTATCAAGTTGCTCCACTGCCAGGACGTGGTTATGTGTGTCCGTGTTTGTCAGCAGCACATGAATCTTGTGGAAGGTTAATGAACTGAATAAAATGTAAGCTTATTTATTACGTGCCATCCACGCACCTGGGATCACAGTGTGATATCAAAATAATATTCTGCAATTCATTTGTTGCGCAAAGCCGGAGGAAGAGAACTCTTGAGGTTCAAACCTCAAATCCCACTTCTTGCGGAAGTTAGATCACTTTTCAAAACGGCCCGCCTAACAAGATATCTCAATAACCATGTCCTTAAAGTGTTATCCATCCATGTTGATCTGTTTAGTTGTACTAATACTCATTCACACTGTTTAAGCAATTACCTCGAGGCAGTAAAAGCCATGAATACCAACTGGCGTACAGAGGAAGAATGAACATATATTGTATCAATGATGGTTTTATTATCTTATCTACCCAAGCTAATACCTGTTATCACATCTTACTTCTCAGATGCTCCAGTCTGTGTTTTATATCTGATCCTCGATGGTCAATTTGAGCGCTTGTACTTCATTGGCAAAAATCCGAAATCAGAGCGCAAATCAAATAACTTGTAAAATTTTAGACAAACATTATTTGTTTACAAAACGCCTGGAGCGAATTCAGGAGATGTTTTTCGGTAAAAGAGCGACAGGGGTTGGCGGCATTTTTAACTAGTCTCGACCATCTGGCCCCATATATGGATCTGTCATTGGATCAGGTATTTCGTGACGGTCACATTCTCAAACAGCTATGTTCAATCAGTTTAGACTAACTGCTAAAATGGTGCCGAAAGATCTAGAGATTCTTTCTAGAAGCCCACTCAACCCTTAATTTTCAGTAACGAAGCACCTCGCAACACATGGAGATTTTTTTTTTTTTGTACAAACAAAACATTTGTAATGGTTCTAATTTTTTCAAAGATTGCTTGAAAAGATAAATAAACAGTTAGGTGATCGATTGCCCGTTACCCGAAGTATCCGGCCGAGACAACTGTTTTCAGTAATCAAGTTTATGTATTATTTAATCTTCTTTTGTATCAAAATAGAAAGAGTGTTGAATTAAGCAAGTTGCTTAATGACCTCGGACATCTTTGCCTCGGAGCACGCAGGAAAAAGTAGTCAAATTTGGAAATGTCAGAGTTGTTTTCAAAACGGCCGAGCACGTTGTCAATATAGAGTCGTTCTCTCGACAAGCTAATTAGCTAAATACTTAAAACATATGTGAAGATATATTTTTTACTCATTATGGTCTTGCAGAACAAATTAACAGATAAAAGGATGAGTGGTAGACGAAAGGCCGCGAGCTACTGAAATGGCTGACGGTGCGAGATTAATTGTGATCGCGACAAATAGTCTGCGCCCTTGAAAATTGAGTGCGTCATATTAAGTTTTGAGAGCAGGAAAATTGAATGTCGCTGTAAAGCTGTTGATCTACGCACCTCCTGGGCCAACGTCTGTAGTTATCAGTGTAGCGCTGAAAGCTCCTGTAGCGTGAGAGAAAGAGAAACAATTTTTTTCTTCGTATCTCTTCTGTTATTGGGAATAAAAAGTACAACAGTGAACTACAATATTTTTAAGTCAATCAGTTCTTGTGGTACATAATAATATTTGAAAGCTCTTTTTAAAAAATGACATTTTTTTTGAGAGATCAGGCACAGAGGGGAGGGAGGGATTCACAGGTGGGAGGAGTGACAGGCTGACTATGACATTCTTGTGGTGGGGAGGCAGGGTAGTTGTGTGGCAACAACTCGGATATGAGGGTATTATCATGCTAAAAAGCTCCCAAGATCAAAATATCAACTCTCTACAATATCTCCTTAATACAATTTTTAGCTCTGAGAATTTGGTGCATTAATTCAAACAATTTCACTCTTTATTTTACCCACTTCAACATTGTAGCAAGAAATTCCCTTAAAGTCACCCCTAGGATTGGAAGCATGGTGTGTTAGAGGTGCCTTGGTTGAGATATTAAATCAGCTACAAACAACTTGTACTGTAAACTGGTTGTGATAATTCAGTGTATTTCATCTATCAAGTCTTCATTCATGAGCCTTTGAGGCAGCTCTCAGCTACAACAGACTGGTAAAGGTAAGGTAGGTAAAGTCTGTACTCAAGCTTAACCCCTTAACTCCCAGAAGTGATTAACACAAAACTTCTCCCTATAATATCCATACATTTGTCAGCAAACAGGTAATGAGAATATTCAAACTTATCAGGTAGAAGCTGCTATCTTGATCTAGCACCAAGTTCTTATAACTAATTTACAAGGAAATGTTTAGCAGTTTTGAATGTTTACCCCCTAGCATTTCATCAGGCTTCCCTGATAATTCATCAGCACCCAGTTATACTCCTGGTTGGAGAGAGGCACTGAGAGTAAAGTGTTTTGTCCAAGAACACAACACAATGAACTGGCCAGGTCTTGGACCCAGACCTCTCAACCCAGGGTCCAGTGCACCAACTAAATTAGGCCACAACGTTCCACAATGAACAACAGTAGAATCATTAAAATATGAAAAAGTTAGTAGAGAAGGAAAGAAAACTGAAATCCAAAGGAGAAAGTCCTGTTGATGAAATCCTAGTCTGGTGCATGCATACTCACCTTCAAAATAAACACAAATAAAAGAATTCTGTTCAGCCTTTATTTGCAATTTAAACATTTCCATCTCAACATTTTATTATTGAATGTCACCATTTTACTAACTCAGTTTCTGGTCTCTTTAGCCAAACATCGTTAAAGTTGCCTCATAACGCAAGAAGGAAGCGTTGCGTGATGATTCAGCCATGAGTTGCGCGACTGCGTGGTTTCTACTCAGTATCCGGTGGACAGTTCGCAAGCTCAGCTTCATTCACATCATAATCTTTCATTGCTCTTTCCAGAAAGAACCAATGTCCTAGAATTCCAACGTCGATCACACGTTCAGGGAATGTCTTCCATCTTGGCTGTACATATTCACAATGTTTTTCGTACAAATCACAGCCAGGTCCAAACTCAGTCACATACACGAGAGACAAAAATCCAAAAGTCTGTATTTGCAACCTTTCCTGATTGCGATATTTCAGAATATTCTGCACGTAACTGTCCGAATTTGGATTCCTTATCAAATGGCTGATCTGCAACAGTTCATTGGAGCATTCTAGCACAGCATCTTCATAAGAATTCACATCTGGGTTCTGTTCGTAAATGTAGTAAAGTCCTCCGAGAGATGCTAAGGTGCAAGCTGAACGGAAGGGTTTTGCCTTCATATTCTGGTACAGTTCTTTAAATACCAGCTTGTAATCTGTGAAGACATTGTAAGCTGACCTGCCGAGTTTTCTTTGCTTTAAATTTTCAAACTGCGGTAAAAACATGTTGTTTATACGGTTTACGTTTCGAAACGCACTCCTCAATCGGGCCGCCATCTTGTTTACCCCGCGCCGAAGACGCATGATTCTTCGAACACAACAGCTGACCTGTTATTGACTCACACAATTTTCACGTGGTTTGAACTGCATACGGACCACAACAAGCTGAACCAAGAAACTTTCCTCCTTCAGAAATTAGACATGGTGCGTATTTACATTTTTTTCCCTGCTTAGAACTTTATGCTACACTTCATAACTCTCGCTATTCACTACGATCGAGTTAATACTCCGATTTTGCTGAGTTCTGCTGTAGGTTTGCAAAAGTGTCACCATGTTTTATTTTAACCGATAGCCAAAGGAAGGTAAAGCCAAGTTGCATTGCAAGAAAGTTGTACATCCAAACTCTAGAAAAGCTACAAAGTTGGCGAGGCAAGCACACAGAGATGAGAAACTTCAAAGGTGCGATGAATATTTAAGTTTCTGTTGTCGTTTCAAGTTTCCAAACCAGTTTGAATTTAATTTTTGGAAAGATTTCCTTGTAACTCCATATACACTATTCTGGGATAAAATCTTAATCCCGTAGGTAATCCATTTTTTCGCCATTGTTTGCCTTTATCAAAGAACTGATTCACTTTGTATTGCAGTCATCTCATATACAAAACTGAAACAGAGAAAAACATTGCTAAAACTGGATTGAAAATATTGTGTAAACCTGAGTATAAATGCAAACTAACCGCATTCAGCATTTTTGAGAAAAGTCGACGGAAAAAAGGGAACAAGTGCACTTGACAGTCTCAAAAGGTAATCTGGATATCTGATAATCGATGAATTTGAATAAGTCCAAAAAATAGGCAAATCCATCAAACCTGCTATGCCTCGTTCTTACCTTGACGTTTTCATAGATTACCCTGAAATCCAGGGCCCGGTTGTTCAAAACCGCGATTAGCGCTAATCCACGATTAAATAGGCTAATCGCCGATTAAATTTAAGTCGCCGATTAGTTTCTGTTGTTCAAAGCCCGATTATTCCTAACCTTCGATCAAACCAAGGGTTAAATCTAACCCTGCTCGCTAGGTGGATTAAATCCTTAATCGGCAGATTAAAAAATAAAAATCACAACATGGCTGACTTGTTGTATGGTTGTGTTGGTGTTGATGGGCGAAGAAAAAGGAAGCAAAGAGAGTTTAGGAGCATCGGTTTCACGATAGATGGATATACAGACGAAGAATTAAGAGCAAGGTATCGCTTTGGAAAGGAGTCTATAGAGTATATTATATTTGAAGCCGAGAAGAGAAGAGTGGGCCGAGGCAGACTTTTCGGCGCCATTTGTTTTTTTGTTTACATGGGAGTACATGTAAAAGAAAATAAGAAAGAAACAAAAGTCTAAAGTCCGTTAATTTTCATTTTGCTTTGTGTTTGTTAGCGAAGTATACATTTTATGCAAGGTATGGACATTGAGAGGTATTACAATAATGTTTCCATTTATAAACTTACCTGTTTCAAACCCCTGTAACCCAGTAAATGACGGTGTGTCACTGAACATGTTTATTATTTTTAAACTGGCTTCTGATGGGTTCGGGGGAGCAACCACCTGTCTTCTTCTGTTCACTTTTAAAGGAACTGAATTCTCTTTTTGCGTGACTCTGGAGGTTTTTCCACTTGTCTCGTACTTCCTGCGTTGATCTTGCTGTCACACCGACGGCGTTTACCGCCTCCGAGATTTCTTCCCAAATCTTGTTTTTTTTTTGCATTTGATATATCTGTTGGTAAATTTACTTTGAAGAATGTCCATATTTTCTTCAAATTTTTCCGTTAAAACGGAAATTTCAGCGGGTGAAAAGTTTGCTTTCCGCACTTTCTTCGCGGGAGAAGCCATATTGACAAAAATAAATTTCCGGCAATTTTATGACGTAAACTGGCACAAAATAAATTATAATTAATTAATATAATTCATTTTATGCTTAATCGCGGATTAGTAAATCGACCGAGTAATCTCCCTTTGAACAACCGTTTTTTAACCAACGATTAACTAACCCACGATTAAGAAATTTAATCGCCGATTAGGCCTAATCGGTGATTAGTTTAATCGCGGTTTTGAACAACCGGGCCCAGAGGTTTAGGAACTGTAACCTGAAAGCTACACACAATACCTTTCGGGGTTGTTATGAGCACTTTATGCCTTTTTTTCTAACAACCTTTTTCAAAATAACTGTATAGTGTCCAAAAGTTGTTTCCAAACATCTGCAGCTGATTTTCAGAAGTCCTTTCCACCAATCACTTTTCTTGTTGTCGTTTGATTGTATTTAGGAAGAGGACTGAGAGGAACTATCTTCTTCAAATAAAAGGTACAGTTCTGAGATGCTAAACTGAAAAGTCTGCACTGCTTTTATCTGATTATAGACTAAAATCCAACACCAGGCATTTTATTGTACCAGTTCCTAGTAAGGTTATCATCGTGAGAGTGGTAACCTTATTAAACCATTGACTTCTGTAAGCATGCTGGCCATGCCAATTCACTTAATCAATTTTGTTGGTTGGCTTTGTAAAAAGATGTGTGACATCCAGATTAATGAATTTTGTAGAGAACTAAGGCAATGGGTGCACTTGGCAAATGCTTACTTATTCAACTACTGATATATTCGACATGTCAGATATGAGTGGTTTCATATGAAGATTGTGATCATTGGCAGAAATTTCCCAGTGGGGGGACACAAAGATGATTTTTATCATTCCAGCAGTAAGAGTGAAAATGGAGTAGTGTATTGTCTGCTTCAGATCTATGGCAGAGCAGTCTGGAAACTTTGTCAAAGTCCCAATTCTCCAGTTTTGCCTTTTTAAAGCTTATCCTTTATTTTTTTCAGTTGGAGAAAAGTTCAGATGGTTTTTCGAGAACATGGATCATGATAAAACAGAGTATTCGTGTTCTGAAGTGTGTGAACTCATTGAGAGGTAGGTGACTGTCTTACAAGTGCATTACTTTATTCATACCTGATTCGTGATTTTGGCAAGACAGTATTTCACAGGGTTTTATTCTTTGTAATTTAATTACTTGGAAAATGTGAAAAAAGGGCTGTGAATTTTGCTATTCAAACATTTGTAACTTTACCTTATTTTTCAAAATGTGTTAGCTTTTGATGCCTGCACAAAATTTGTACAAATCTAAAGATTAAAATAAAGATGATAGCTAGATTCTCTACTATGTAACTATGTGAAATGTTTTCAGATGAATGTCATTTCACAACAGAAGATACAAAATCGAACTTATCAGTAGACAGATTAATAATTTTTTGATACATGTACTGTATATTTTGTCGATATTATATACTGAATTTTCTACAGGGAATTAAATTTCGCAGGTCTTCAATTTTGCTTAGATGAGCACCTGCTATCTGCTGGCCAGACTTGCTGAAATGTTTATTTTAAGAATGAAAATAATGAAGATTGTTTTTGTTGTTTAGCATGCACAATCAAGATAAAAATATGTTGTAAAGAACTGTAAAACTCTGAATTTTCTTGAATGCTCCACCATTCACAAATCTCACACATTCAACCCAATGACCTGACTCATAGCAATGAAACATTCTCATAAATATTTTCTAGGTATTTACATCGCTTTGACGAAGAGCTTCAACAAATCAATGAACAGAACAGTATAAAAGGCAGACAAGGCCGAGCTCATGCATCAAGAGAGGACACACTGAGAAATGTTATTGAACGGGAAAGGGAGCTGTACAACACTTGTGGAATAGGTAGGTTAATAGTTTTGGACACTATTTTTGGGCATCTGGACAGTTGATTTATCACATACTGTATTTATTTGGCTATAAGCTGAGCAATTTTTACACAAATTAAGGCTAGTATTTGGTAAAATCTGAGCTATATAAGGGGTTTGGCTTATAGATTTTTCCTTAAAACAAAACTTTTTTGACTTACCGGCAATTAATTATCGGTTAACGCTTTGCAATTGCGTGTGTTTCCAGAGAAGTCAATCTTGCTTTCTTATACTTTTCAATCCTTCTAAATATTCATGATAATCAGTGTGTTTCTTTGGTGAAGTCTCTGTCTTTCATGAACATTGTGTTCTAAGGTAGGTCTTGGCTTATAGCTGAATGTTTTGGTTAAGTTTTTTGTGATGATGCCACTGAGTTTACAAATTGGAAGTTTGGGGTCTTGGCTTATAGCCAGGTAAATACGGTATTACCTAATTTGCTCTCCTGCACCCCACCTGCAATGATCTTAGAAGGCAAATGTGGATCAAAAACTCACAGAATCATTGCACAGATATGATTTATTGATTGATACTTTAAGCCTTGTGGTTAAAACTGAGGGACTCAATTACTGCTCTGTCTCAACATTCTGAAGGGATAATTTTTGAAAACAGTTTCAACAAAATGTACAAAGAATTACTTGTCTCAGACTTTCTTCTTCTCCTTTATGTTTTCCAATTCCAAGCAACACAATTTATTTTCTTGTCTCAGTCTTAATTGCGTACAATTTATGTTATCCTATTTCTAACGATGAAATTTCCGTTCTTTTTCTTCTGCACACAGAGCTTCCAGACCTAACATCTGCAAAAGTGTTGGCACAATTTGGGTGAGTAAAATGTCTTGATTTGCTTTCTTTAAGCAAGAAAATACATCTCAGTTACTGTAAGTATGTCTCAGACCTGGATCAAACGTTGTTCACGTGTGCAGCAGGGTGTTGTGGACATTTTGGCAAATTACAGGGGATTGTGAGCTGATTGGGAACAGACAGAAAGAGACAAAAAAAATCTTTGAAGAATTAGGCTTGGGAAATTCTGCAATAACAATAATAACTGTAACTTACATTCACCTTTTAAAGCCTAAGAGTGACCAGCATCCAAATTCTCCTTGCAGCAATACAGCTGAATCATTCATTAAGATCATGAGATTGCTAACCTAAGATGCTTTGATTGTAATACAAATTCTCCTTGTCCAGACCAAAGTAAACATATAGAAAAGATTGTGGAGAATATGGGTACTGATCGATGTTAGAGTGTATAGGGTTAACTTAATTTGAGCAACAATATCAAGCTCTTCCTTAGTTCACTGTAAATACACAGACACATGGAGTAACTAGGAAAAAAATTGGTTAACCCTTTGACTCCCAGAAGTGATTGACATGCAACTTCTCCTGATAATATCCAGTGTTCTCCAGAGGTGCCGGCGACTGGCTTTTTCGCTGGCTACTCATGTCTCAAGCACCGGCTACTTTTGTCAGACAAAACCACAGAAAATTATTCTCTTTTTTTTTGTAAGATAATTTTGAGTGTGGCTTGAATTTGTGCTCTATTTGGAAGTGCTGGCTACTTTATAATTTTAGCTGACTACTTCAAAATCTGTGGAGAACACTGAATATCCATACTTTATACAGCAAACAGGTAATGAGAATACTCAGACTTATCATGTCAAACTTGTCATTTGATCTAACACAGAATTCTCGTCACTAATTTACTAGGAAAAGTTTAACAGCTAGAGGGGAGAATTAACAATCAGATCTTGGGAGTTAAAGGGTTAATATTTACATCAATAGGAGGAAACACAGTTGGCTATTTACAAAGCATAGTTGCAAATTGAACTCAAAACTTCTTCAGAGTGAAGATTTTTAACTTGGTACCTCCAGATTTCAAATCCTGCACCTTGCCACCATTGCATTTCTTCTAAAAAGGGTTTTTTCACTCTTTGCAAAGTAAATGGTTAACTGTTCTAGGCTAAATCGGCTATTTTTTTATTTTGTGCAAAAATGTATCAAAAATGATGATTTTTTGCAGTGTTTGGCTGGAATATGAGTATTTTAATCTTACGTTTTCTCTTAGAAACTTTGATTTATTTTTGTTTTTTAGAGAATGGAACTGCGATGTGGCCAGCCTCAAGCTTATCAGGATGCGAAAATTCAAATCTTCAGCTCTTGAGAAGAAACAGGAGAGAAACGACAATGAAACAGATGAAAACCCTAAAGACGGAAACATTAAAACTTAAAATGAAATGTAGGGTATTGGTATTCTGAGGTTGATCATTTGCAAAACGGGTTTGACCTTAAAAAAAGCCTCGAGTTGTTGTGTGGCGCAATGGTGGCCCAACTTCTGCGAAGTCTCAGGTCAGGAAATGAGCTTTTTGTGGGTCTCTGTGAGCGGAGGATGGTTGAGCGTCAAAAGCAAGAGGCTGGGCAAGAGTTTGATATAATCTTAACAATGACATTATTACTCAAAGGTTACATGGTACTCTGGATAACATTGAGAATCATGAAAAACTACAAATATGCTGGGATTCTTAGTCTGATCCACGACAGAATCGTAAAGCACTTCTGGCCTCGAAGGGTCTATCGGTGGAGGCACCTTAATGTCTTGTTTCCCTGCACAGTACTTTCCTACCAGGACTCGGGCAAGATACATGTGGCGGCCAGCATCACCATTCCCAGTGTAATGAACAGAGTAACTGGCGTCCCTGGCAAAGTATACACCCTGTCCGTATTTTGTTCCTGGAAAAAAAGTAGAAGATTATAAAGCAAATCGTATAGAAATCGTTGGCGGGTGTATTTGCAATAATTCTTATCCGGAGTGTAATGACCTCTGGGGGCAGTGTGACCGAGTAGTCAGGGCGCTGGGGCTTGTAATCTGGTGGTCTCAGGTTCAAGCCCTCCACCCTGTTACACACTGGATTTGTTTTCATTTGCCCCGATTCAATTCCTTTGCTGCGCTTTGTATAGAGCCAACTGGTCTGCCTCATGTCAGTTGGGATTCTTAAACACTTTGTTTACAATGTCTGTTCCAATTTGTTTGTATTAACCCTGAAAAGTACCGTTGCGGAGTGGTCAATTAAGTGTACATTACATTACTACATATGCAACTTTGAACGACTTTTTTTCCCGTTTTTTTTTTCTCACTAAAGGCGACATTTATAGGCCTTTTCGTAAGATTGTTACCGCGTTTGCACGAGTGAAAATTCTTTTTAATTAATTAGCGCATGTTAACTCAAGGGTACGTCCTCACCATAGGCTTTCAAATTGGAATACTTACCGTGGACTCCACAGAAGCTTCGGTTAAATCCCTGTGCGTTTATATGGCTGACGTTTATAGCATTCGTCCCATGAAACAGTTGTCGTTCGCTATTTCCTCCACAGTCCGGCTCAATTTTCTGTTTCCTCGCCATGTAAGCTTGCCACAGATGAGGATTTTGCACTCGTTCAATCTTCTGAATACTCAATCCTTTAGCGGTCGCATCAATCATGTGCTTGACATTTTTGTATTCAGAAGAGTCTGGTAACAGCACCTCTGTGTGCACAATCATATCAGGTCGGGGCATTGGTGTCCAGTGCGTTGGTAGGGGAAATCCTAGGGAACAAGAAGGCCTGACTTAGAGGTGCATGAAAGGTTAAAGTGAGCAAGAATGTTTCCTTTATTTGTACCTCGGCGACATTGACGAGAGTTTGGTCTCCTTTTAAAGACTTGATTACTATTTCTTTTGGTACCGTAAAATTATTTGTCTTTTTGTCACACAGAGAAGGGTAATAGTGGTTGGTTTCGTCACTTCAACGAAAGGAATCATCTTAGCAGCTAACTGTTACTGCACGATTACTCGTAAGAAAACAGTGAGTAGCTAACCTTTTATCTTTCTCGTCAGAGTTATCTGATCTCCTGACTGTTGTCCGCGTCCAATATTTTTCTTCAAATCTATCAGGAATTGCTCTCCTGACAGAGATATCTTTATTTCTGACTTGCCTTTATTATGCGCCGTTTCAATCATGGCGTTCGATCTCTGATTGAAAACCATTTTAATGCCTTTTATTTCGTAGCCCCATTCCACACTTTTTGATATCAGATGCGCTTGCTCTTGGTCCTGTTTTTTCTTTTTAATCTTGTCCAACTCTTTCATGATCTCCACGACCATCTTGTTCACTTCTGTAGATTCACCCTGAACTAAGATACGAGTAGCGGTATCTTCGACTTTAAGTTTCAAGTCACGGGCATCGGCTTTTCTTCTCAGAGTCTCAATCTTCTCATGGGAGAGTTGACTAACCACGTCGCTTTCCACCTTTTCTGTTGTCAAAGCCCTGGAGAAACTTTTCTTCAGGAATTCAATAGCATCTGTGACGTTTGGCTCTTTGCCCGCGACACAAATATCTACACAGTTAAGCACGTTGACTTTAAAGCGACCATCTAATGCGATGCACTGGGTTACGACTTTCTTTGAATTATGCTGAAATTGCTGAAATGCCTGCATCATTTGGACTTGAAAGATAATAATCCTTACTGTGTGGACAGAGTTAAAACTTCCGCAAAAGTTATTAAGAGCTCGGTATATCACGTTAGCGGATTCTGTAGCAGACATTTGGAATCCACCAGTCCCAACTGCGGGGATGGAAACGGAGCCAAGACCATGTGTTTCTGCAAGTCGAAAACAACTTTCCAGGCACTGCTGGAGGTGGCTTTCATTTGCTGAGTCGGATATAAGGTGTATAATGTGACGTGATGGTAGCTTTCCACCAGCGGTCATCACCGCTGACCCACACGGTTGCTGTCGGAACTTATTCAACTCATCCTGTATCCGCTGACCGCCCAGCATCTTCATCGTTTTGCTCACCATTCCTCTATCCATATCCAAGTCTTTGCTGACAATATTTACAATGGCGTCTGTTTTCTCCTGGAAAAGGTCACCATGAGCCACTTCAATAAGCACGGGAGTCTTTTTTAACTTCTTGTGTACGTTTTGCTCGACTCTTAATTTGTCCATCTCTTGTTTGAAAGCGGCAGTTAATGCTCGATCTTGCTGGTAAACAACAAATCGAATATCCTGCGTAGAGGATGCGGAATGAGCTTTGCAGAAGGTGATTACTTCTTCCAACATAAGTCTGGAGGCTACATCACGAGGGAAGTTTAGTTTCCCGGTACCTATTACAGGAAATGCAATGGAAGTCGCTCGTAGCTCTACACTTTTCTGCAGACACTTTCGAACAAGGCCCTGTAGAGTCTATATGGAAATAAAACACATTGATTTGAAAGCTGCATGCATCCTTTTACGCATACGAACTGCAACTCATCTAGTAACGTGTCTACTCCAACAAATTAAATACCTACCTCTTTGCCCTGGCCACCATTCCAACTGCAACACCGGATGTGGATCACATGCCTGACGAAGGCAAAACCACCAGATACCGTGATGTCTCCAATCTTTGGAGATGCTACTTTTGGACCACCAGCCTTAATGATTGCTTGAGTGCATGCCCCCTGGGAGCAGACCAATAGATCAGCCTGCAATTCAAGTGAATGTTACTATACGTTCTTAAAGGACGTTATGGCTTTCCGGATGGCCAAAAATATATATATGGGGTGTTTCGCAACAGTAATATCGTCATTTTGAAACAGAGCTTGCGACATGAACATCCGTAACTGAGGAAATAGTGGCCTATGCTATTTAGCTGATATTTTATCAACATTCAAAGTACGTATTCAAATATGAAAAAAATAGTTTAAACAACTGTCACCTTTTCTGCCTCAATGTTCCCCATTTTCCATGATATTTTGTGTCCATGTTTTGTTAGCAGAGGAGAATCGTCAGCTATAGAAGAGCCTGCTTCACCTTCATTTGCATTATTATCACCATTGGAATCGTCGTCGTCTTCGTCCTCAGCGCCTTTGCAGTCATCTTCATCGTCTTCATGGTTGGTATTGGCTGCTGATGAGTCATAATCTACAGTTTTTAATTCATTTTCGTCTGTTTGCATAAAACTTTTCTGGATGCTAATGGTGCAAGCTTGTTTCTTTTTCACAGACATCACTAAGTAGTTTTCTTTCCCGCCTTCAAAATATCTACAGAGGCCTGGCTGTTCCACTTTCCAAGTCTTCCAAACGATATTCTTTTGAAGATCATCAATTTTCTCTCTTGCTATTTTTAAGCCTGTTTCTGTTCCGGAAATTTCAAGGAAATTGTCGGTATTTCCTGTTTTAATCTCCACCTGAAATTCTTTCAGGTGAACCTCAATGCAGCGTAAATCTTCATGACAAATGTCGACGAGATACTTTTTAATAATTTTCGCACGACACTGAAACCAACGTTTCATGATGATGCGGTTTTTTTCCAAGAAGGTCTGTAACTTTTTCATCTCGTGAGAAACGTTTTCTCGGAACCCAACTAAGTATACATCATTCCAGGAGTTTCCGTGAACGTGGACAGTGGACTGGGTGTTAATCTCCTGACACAGTAGATGCCAGGTATGGGATTGTAGCAAAATTTGACTTTCTTCCTCCACGTGCACTTTTTCTTCCAGCATCAACCTATTAACAACCTCCAAAGCGTTATCAACATGCGCAGTTGATGTTCCTACCACCCTGGCCCCTTTATTAATGTAGATCACAGCCTGCACGTGGTGTTTTTCTAATTCACCATTCACCGTCTGAAGCCCAACTTTTGAGCCCAAAATCTCTTTTAACTTTACGGATAATTTCAGTGATTTTTCAACCATGTCATTCATATGATCCCGAAACTCCACGATTGCCTCGTTCAGTTGTTGCTGAGGACCTTTGAAACGTAGTTCTTCGTTTTCAACATCCAAGCTGATTTCTATTTTTCGGTTTTTCTCCTTAAGGTTCTCCACAAACTTCAGTTTTTTCAGCAAAATTAGGCGTTCTTTAGGAACATTTTGTATTTTGATTTTTGTTTTGGTTTTCAGGATCTCATTGAGGTATATCTCTTCCAATTTAGCTTTCACTTTTTCCTGGTTACTTTTTACATCTGTTTTCAAGCAAACAATCCTCAAAGAATGAGTATTACCGCTGATTTTTATCAGGGAAGGGTCAAATCCCAAGGACCCTTGAGCCACCACGGCTTCCCAAAAATCCTTGTTTACCGGGACATCACACTTCGCAAACTTGTCGACGAAATTTTGTACTTCTTCAAAGCAGTCAGACTTCCACGAATCGCCTCCACTCTCTCCGTGATACTCTATTGCAGCTGTTTTTTGGTTGGGTTTCCAGGTGATAACTCCTTTCTTTTTAGCCAAGGAGCTATTAAGTTGATCCTGAAATGCCGTTTTGGTGATGTATTCCATCACATCAGGATCTACAGCCGTAAACATCGTGTCCACACTCGCTCTCAATTCACCTTCATTTTGTGGTCTATCACCTTCTTTGATGTCTTGCAACTCGTAGCAAATTTCAAGTGACAACGTTTTCCCATTTGAGATTAGTGGTCTCTCTCTGTGTAAGGCCAAGACTCTTTGTATATCTGTCAGGATGAAGAGGAGTGGTACGAAGTAAGCCTTTTTGCTTTAAATAATTCTTCATAAAACTTGAATTAGGAAGGTACCGCATGAGAGAATTCATGTAGCAGACAGTAAATGAATGAATCAATTAGTCAGTCAATCGGTCAATCAGTCATTCAATCAATCACGTCCTCTATATATCCATCAATCAATCAACCAATCATTCAATCAATCCATCAAATCCGCTCTCTTCATTAAAGTCATGTCAACCATCAGTTCATTTTTGTTATTATTCATTATTAGAAATTAAACTATACCCAAATTACTGACTGATGTACGTCATTAAGTAACAAACCTGTTACTTCTTGAAACACGACGATAGCTTGATGACGCTCGGGTACATAGGTAACCTTCTCCACAGGACCTCCGTTGTTCCTACGGCTCTCAAAAAACAGTTCAATTTCTTCATAGGTAGTGTCATCTGAAAAACCGGTAACAAGAATGCTTTTGCAAACAGGAACTTGCTCGATGGACACCAAACCTTTAGTTTCAACTTCAACTTCCTTCTTGATATAACTGTAATCTGAATGAAATAAAAAAGTCATGGTACCTCGTGCAATAACCATCAGGTCTCCTCAATATCACTTCAGATAATGTGAGAGTTATACCAATGTTGGTGCTGTGGTATGGGTCGGTGAGCAACTATTAAGTCTTGTTTCGTGTTAGCTTATTAGTTGCAAATGAATTGACGTGACTTTGACTTCGCCTACCTTTTACATCTTTGGTCATCGTGATTAGAGCTCTGCCGTTCATCAACATTTGTACCTCCTCCACCTCGGCACCGCTCACGACCTCAATTAAGGTTTTCAGCCTGCGTTCATTCATCAAGCTATCGAACCCACTAACCAGCAATTTCTTGGTCTCAAAGAAAGCTTGATCTTCAAGTTTCCCGTTTTCATTTTCTTTCTGTGACAGTTTCTGCTGATGTTGTTGCTGTTGATGTGGTGGTTTTTGCTGTTGCTGCTGCTGTTGTTTTGGTTGTTGCCGTCGTTCTTCTTCTTCCTCTTTTTCATTCCCTGTAAGTTAAATGCAACAAACATTCACAACATTTTCCATTTTTCTTATGACATTAAAGAAGTTTCAGAAGGTTATTCTCGTTAATTTGTATTAAGCCTTTTTATTTCCAACCTCTACTCCTATTGCATGTATATATGCTAATTATGCATGCTTTTTTTTAATGAGAATCCCATCGTGACCCTTCCGTAACTATCAATATTTTATTCTCTAAGCCATTCCAAGCAGGAAAAACATTTTATTTTGATCTCGCTGCTGACATACTCTTAATTCTACACAGTTTATTTCTTGTGACTTTAGATTTATTTGAGGCTGAGTTAGAACTTGAACTATGAGTGGTCAAATATCAATTCAATTAGGGAATCACTACCTCAAACATAGAGCTCTCAGTCAACCGTCAATAAAATATTAATGAAAAGAGTGGTATGAGGGCCAACAAATGCAATTCCGTCGAAAGAGACAAAGTTCGAAATGGATTGTAAACTACAATTCCGCCCTCCGTTCAGCTCATTATTTCATTAAATTGGGGATATTTCCATCCGTAATCCCTACCTCTTATTTTTACACCAAGCGCAATTCCTTGTTCAAGCACCTTACCGTTTTTAATCCTACAAAGGTCATTCTCAGAGGCACTTAGTCTGCTTGCTTCATCGACATTGTCCGTTGCTGGCCATTGTAAGGTTTCCCATCTGTCTAATAATTCTGACTTATCTTTGGGTGACAATGATGGGGAGAACTGCTTTAATGTCGATTGTCTTGTGGGCAGCAACAGTTGGGATTGTATTGATGATTCTCCTCTGGGTAGTTGTGGGAATTTTATTGATGATGACTGTCCCGTGGATGTTAGTGATGTGGACTGTGTCGATGCCGACTCTCCCATGGGTGGTGATAGAGATGGGCTTGATGTTGATTTATCTTTGTGCAGTAGTAATGCTGGGGTCAGTGTCGTTGATTGCTCCGTGGGTAATAGTGGTAAAGATTTTTTCAGCATTGATGTCGACTTTCCTTTAGGTGGTAAGGGCGGTGGAATTTCTGTTAATGTTGATTGTCCCGTGAGAAGTGATGATGATGCTTCTTTTAGTGTTGGTATCGACTTTCCTTCTTGTGGTACTGGGTTCTGTGTTAATGTCGACTTTTTTTTAGGCGGAAGAGGTGGTGGGGTTC